ATAAAAGGCGTCTAGGCGTCGTAATTGGCGTCTTGGCCTTTAGACTATAGGACTTCGACTGGTAAGTAATAGGCGGGATGGTGGTACCTACCTAACTGTGCGTTTCCATAATACTACCCTACCACATATTATGCACCCGTTACTCTTTTTGCATTATAATAAAAAACGTCTCCTCTAACAGATTCGCCTCCAGTTATCCTGAAATTTTCAAAACTTTTAACAAGTAAAGATAGCCATGTCTAACATAGATGTGGGAAGCGTATAAATACATGTCTTTGAGTTCTTTGCATTGATAATGCTAGCTCGACCGATTCGACAAGCAAGAATAATGTTGTGAATTATAAATGTAGATAGTAACTCATTATGAAAATTGTATTAGTTTTTAATTTGTCCAAACAGACATTCAATGTTCGAGTTTTTTTTTATTGCTTAGATGGGTGGACGAGCTCACAGCCCACCTGGTGTTAAGTGGTTGCTGGAGCCCATAGACATCTACAACGTAAATGCGCCACCTACTTTGAGATATAAGTTCTAAGGTCTCATGTATAGTTACAACGGCTGCTCCACCCTTCAAACCGAAACGCATTACTGCTTCACGGCAGACATAGGCAGGGTAGTGGGAACTATCCGCGCGGACTAACAAGGGATCTTACCACCAGTTAATAAGAACTGCTGTAACGAACAAGATACTTTCAAGAATGTACCAGAATACTGTTATCCAAATGTAAATCTGTCGGGACGCTCTTATTTATGATAATCGAATAGCAAATTTTCAAAACAGAGCATTCGCATGCGCATTATTAATTAATCTATTAAAACCTGAAGAATGTAAACAAAAGCGTATAATCGTTTTATCGCAGGCGGTCTGTGCAAACAATCGCGCTGTATTATGCCTCGTTAGCGAGTATATCTCTCCGTTGTATAAACAAATAGCCCTAAATTTATTAATATAATCGCACGCTCCGAACCTAATTTGCATGTGAATTAGTCACGTTCTAATGTATCGATTCTTCGAAATTTAAATCGATTCGTTATTCTTTAACTTCTAAGGCTTCTAATACCATCGGTAATCTTTATATATACAAAATTTACATTAGTACATATAAATTACATAGTTTGGACTAGAACTAAAACAAACAGTTCTATAATACTGAGCGCTGACTCACACTTCAAATATCAGACAGCATTTACTTATTTTTGTGTCACATTTTTGATTATTCTTGTGAGAAATGAATTTGAATAAAACAATAAGAAACAAAATCCTTATAAAAACCTGATGTTGTTAAAACATATTCGCAACATCGTTAAGAAACATCACCCTTCTTATATGGAATCGATCTTTAACGGGCATTTTGCTTATAAAATCCAAATTTACGTACAACCAGTCAGAAACTTGTTTCTTTTTTTATTGTAATGGACCGAAAAATGTCTCTTATAAACACCTACGATTTTAAATTTATTGTTATAAGCGTTTTGTTGAAGAATGTGGTGTAACGAGTCACAGCGTTTTGCATATTATGTCCAATGTATTGCAACTATCGTCGATACAATAAAACGCTAGAATCCGGTGTGACTGTATGTTTGCAAAAAAATTATAAAAATAGAAATGGGAGTAATTGTGATGTATATGTCGGGTTGAGCTTTTCCCAATCATTATCTGTGTCCTCGTGGTCAGTCATTAGTAGGTTAGACTCGAAATAAGAACACAATAAAATATGTAATAGCAGACTAGAACGCGTTGATATCAGAGATGCGTGCGATCGCAATGGTGCCTCCAAAGAGAATGCCTTCTCTCTCAAATGACTGTCTCGGCATTCCACCGTCATAGACTATATCTGCAAATGTCACACGTCATCCACAGATTGATTGACACTGTGCATTGGACATTGAACGAGTCAATAACAAGTCTATACATAAATAATTACGATCGCCGCGCCGTCCCCGATTCTAACCAGCTAGCTATTACCACCGATGCTCCGACATATAGATGATGATGTACTGGTAGTATGGCGCCTTGTGAGCCCGCAAGACTAGGTACCACCACCCTGCCTGTTTCTGCAGTAAAGCAGCAAAGTAATACGTTTCATTTCCTTCTCTGAAGGCTGGAGTAGTCGAATGGAGCCGAGTGTAGTAGCTGTAGAAAACAGATTTAGAACTCATGTCTTAAGGTGGGTTGCGACAATTACGTTGTTAATATATCTGGGATCCGGTAACTACTAACGGAATAGATTTTAATGTAATTTTCACCGTTAGACCGGTAATAATTAGCAGCAAAATATAGGTTTTGTTCCATTAAAATCGGATATAGCAAATAATAAAACCTCTTATTCCGTCTAATTATGTTTTCACGCCTAAATCATTTAACTATTTTTTACAAAATACAGGATAATTACGAAATGGAAATAATTTGAACCATTAGACATAGACATAGAATACCTTCTACCTCCCTATTCAGCATTGGTCTCCACTTAGACATGATAAAAGTTTTAGTCCACGCAGACGAAGCTGCGTGAAGAACTAGCTTTTAGTAGCTCGCTATTTTGGCATTTCGGTTGAACTTTTGTAAAAAATTACCATTAGATATGTTTTCTTGTTGCAAAAAAATAAATTCTATCAGACGAGTTGGTTCGATATCTACTAAATCAAATTGGTGTGTGTTTTTGAGCTTGACTCACGTTGTGCATACGATCAGTTATTATAAATTAATAGCGCCTTTCCTAATAATGGTGTGTAGATACCAACACAATAATATTAGGATCAATTACGAATTAGAAATATTTTTTGTCGAAGTAGTTGTGGCCTAATGGATAACCACTTAACACCAGGTGGGCTGTGAGCTCGTTCACCCATATAAGCAAAAAAAAATTACATTTTTTACAAAACTGGAAACATGATTATCCAACCGATGGTCATACGAACCCATCCAGTTACCTTAGCCTGCGTACATAACCATCGCTCACTCTGAGACATCAATTGCGTTAAAGGCTGTCACATTCTGCATGCGTAAACTCATGATGTATCGCAGCAGAAACAGATAAGGTGATAGTACCTACCCGTGCGGGTTTATTTTTCTTCCTACCTATGCTGATAGCCTTGAAAGGCTATTTCAGCTTCTCTTTGACGTGTAGGTGAGCTTACGGGGCTCAAACCGGAGTATTACTAACATTGGCCCCAGCAAGAGCCATGCTTCGCAGAATCTACCACCGGATCGGAAACGCGACCCACTGAGAAGATCCGGCGAGAAACTCAGAGGGCCTCGTGCGGGCTAACAAGGTGCCCTATGAGTATAGTATAGTAGTACTATGACCAGTCAAATATGTGCAATTTGCAAAAGCTTAAAACCTTTATTCAATACAAGTTTAATTGACCAATCAAATTCAGGACCATCTGTTAAGCATAGACAGATCCATAGGCGAGGATATCGTATTCTCGCTTAAAGTCAAATCTTACGGGATCTGGTTATTCGTTCTGTTTTCATATACCTATTGTTTAATGTTAAATAGATTGAATATTTGAGTGGGATGGATGGAACATCCATGATGACTACATAATTGAGACTTAGACTTCATGTCTGATCACTGCGTGTATCAGTGAGATCTTTGCTGAAAATTGCTTAGAAGGAATAAAAAGAAACTTTATTTGTTTATTTAAACTGTTATAAATAAGCACTATCCACATAACATAATTATAACATGTGTCCTAAATATTGAATTTTATTATTTTTAAATGAAAATGAATTTGTTGTAAATTTTAATATAACGGAATCTTTGAATGTCCCTTTTTCCGATTTGAAATTGTCAGTATTGAATAAAATTAATTATAGTTTGATCTTATCTCAACAACAACAAAAAAAACAATATTTTCCGTACTATTGTTTAAAATATAATTAAACATCGTATAATCAAGTTCATATTCAAATATTTTACCAGTTTTATAGTTTAACCACGTGTAAATATTTCTTTACATAATATGCGTACCTACCTACTGTTTTGTTTCCTGGTGTATTCAGACGTAGGGAACTAATATTTAAGTACTTAGGTTTTCATGCGTTTAAGGCGGAAACGTTTGAACAATGGGTACATATAATAATCGATCGAATATATATATTTTTTTAATCCTGTTCCCATGATTCGTAGACAGGTGGTAGTGGCGTCGTATTGCGGCTTCTTTGTGCTACCGCCCTTTGATCCCGCCGCCACATTGTGCGCGTGCGCACACAACTTTTTGCACAAAGTTTTTGCCTACCGTTCCTGTTATCGATGCTCATTGATTCGTTCTGGATTCCGTTTAAATTGTTGTATCTATTATTTATGAAATTACGTACATTTTATGTTAATTGATTAGGTACTGCTAGTGCTGAAATTACTTAGTATTTAATAAACGACGCTTGGCACATTGTTTTTTCAACGTATACTAGAGGATTTATGTTTTGAGTTTCCTTGACGGAGCCCGCTGGAATCTTGCGATTACCAGTGCTTATATGTAGATAGCAAAACCCCTCCAGATACGCTAATAACATTGTCAAAACGATGGTAATTGGTAAAAGCGATTGTAAAAATAACGGCGTACTAGGAAGCGTTGATTCCATCGACTTAGCATCACACTCGTCATTCGACAGCTCAGTGTATGATACACTGGAACCCGCGAAGAAGTAAACAGGGCGATGGTGAAGCATTCATAAGGTTTTTTTTTTCTTCCTACCTAAGCTGATAGCATCGAGAGGCTATCTCAGCGTAACTTTAACTTGTAGGTGAGCTCACGGGGCTCAAACCTGACGACATTGCTAATACGAACCCCAGCAAGAGCCGTGCTTCGCAGAATCTACCACCGCGTCGGAAACGCGACCCACTGAGAAGATCCGACGAGAAACTCAGTGGGCTGTGTCTGTGGGTTAATTTACTCGTCGAGCCCTTCGTCGCCAGCGACGGGTTCGACGAGAACGATGACCGGTTCATAAGGATGAAATCCAAAATTAATGTAAAACTTGTGATTGTCCACAGGTCTAACGGCGGAACTTTTTTACGTCCGAGACGGCCAGATAAATGTCTACGCTCTTAACTTCGTCGTCCCCGTACCGGCCACGATCAACGAGCTGCACTTCACTTGGCAGAGCCTCACCAGGAAACCTGTAAGTTTTTGTTTACCATCCATAGTTTTTTTTATAAGTGTCAACTGGAAAATCAAAGTCCTATTTGAGTCAATAGACATATCACGTCATTACGGATCCTCCCGATCCATTAACGGTGCTTTTAGGTGCCACAAGCACCGGTCACCGTCCTCGTCGAACCCGACGCTTGCGACGAATGGGTCGACGAGCGAATTAACCCATAGACGCCATGATGTTTGTTTTTTTTATTTTTATTAAGCCGCCATGATATGACCTGTACATCAACCTGTAACGCCCTCTATTTTCGAGTAAATTCGATGAATCCATCAAAGAGTAAAAAAGCAAGAGAAATATTACGAAAAAAAATATATATTATAATTTAAATATTATTTTCATGGAGGTTTGATTTGAACTTTTTGAAAACTTCAAAAGTTGGTAGATTTTTGCTACAAAGTGGTAGGTTTGATTACGACACTAAAAGCTAGTAGATCTACCGAAAAGTTGGTCCGGCGAGAAACTCAGTGGGCTGTGTCTATGCCATCTTCCCAGTGGGTCGCGTTTCCAATCCGGTGGTAGATTCTGCGAAGCACTGCTCTTGCTAGGGTTAGTGTTAGCAACACTCCAGTTTGAGCCCCGTGAGCTCACCTGCATGTTAGGGCGAAGCTGAAATAGCCTCTCAAGGCTATCAGCATAAGTAGGAGGAAAAAAAATACATATGATTGTCGCCGTGCTTCAAAAACGGTCGAAGCAGCAGCTGCTATTCAATATTTTTAAATTTCGAACGCATGATTTGCTACAAATAGGCGGCGGCACATATCAGTGATTGCTAGTCTTACCCCCAGTAAACTGCTGTACCATCATAACCTTCGACAGCCGCTATTAAGACTTTGTCTTTTGTGGGCGGTGGCATTTACGATTAAGTTTCCAATGGCTCCGTTAACCACGTATCACCAGGTGGGCGTAGAGCTCGTACAGCAATCTAAAGCTATAAAAAATCTATAAATCGATTCTTGTGGCTTCCAAACTACGTATCTCGTTTTTTTTTTGTTTATTGCTTATATGTGTGGACGAGCTCACAGCCTACCTGGTGTTAAGTGGTTACTGGAGCCCATAGACATCTACAATGTAAATGCGCCACCCACCTTGAGATATGAGTTCTAAGGTCTCAGTATAATTACAACGGCTGCCCCGCCCTTCAAACCGAAACGCATTACTGTTTCACAGCAGAAATAGGGCGGTGGTAACCTACCTGTGTGGACTCACAAGAGGTCTTACCACCGTATATATAAATTTTAAGGTGTTGTTTATGTTTAGTAAGTGAAACGTTTATCAAATACAAAAATAAGTATACATATTATACCACATACAAATTTATCATTTTTAAAATGACGCGTAACAAAACAACGTTAAAATGGCATGATACGAATTACCGTGTTGTGGAATGCTTTAAATTTACTCGAAATCATATCTGATGCTTTTATTGTTGACAAGAAGCTGTTTTTTTTTTAAGTAAACCTGTCTTTGGAAGACAATAACTTTATAGATAAGTCGTCGATAATATTTTTGCCACCAGCAACTGGTTTTTGTAATCGCGTAACAATCGGGAACGTTTTGGTGTTTTTATTAAATTTAAACTTGTTCTGTTTAATTCTTTCTTGGATTCTTCAGGCAAAGGAATTTAGTGATTTTTTTAAAGAATTATCTTATGGACTTAAAGAAAAAATCGTTTGCTGGAATATAACCTCGTTTGACTTTAAAAACTCGATAAGCTAGTTATTTAAATGATTGTATGGACTGACGAAACTCTCTCACGATTATGGTGATCCTTTGTACGGCTAAAATGTAAATCGATGTTTCAATATGAATCGCACACGTATCGCGAAATACGAACGAAACTCTCCCACTAAGGATCACATGTTATTAAATCGATTAAAAACTTTTTCTCGATTCTTTGAAAAGTTGTAGAATGTCATGCACAAGAACAAAGAATGTAATTAACTCGAAGAGGAAAGTTTTATTTTTGCAAGTTACTAGATAGGGAGTTGCCGGCCATGTTTGTTCTGATCTCGAAAACAATTCCATTCTTATGGTAATTTAAGTGAAGTCTTACAGAGTTTAGATGAATTTCAAAGTTGATAAAAACATCGTTATTTCTATAGAACTTTGCATGTACATTAATAATTCAGTTGTTGATTGACCGCGCGGGATTGCTTGTTTTTTTTTCTTCCTCAAAATTTATTTTCTTTAGCTTACTTACACATGTATTTAAGTCGGTGCCGCTTCTCATGCAAATATTTCGACAGTTGGATCACGATGCACTCCTATTTACTTTCTGTCGATCCATCCTGCATCGCTAACCAAATAATATGTGCATTTATTTATTTTATCTGCTCACTGTCTCGGCTCTGGAACCCTAATTTTTTATCTGTTTTTTTTTTAAATTTTATTTTTATTGCTTAGATGCGTGGACGAGCTCACAGCCAACCTGGTGTTAAGTGGTTACTGGAGCCCATAGACATCTACCCCACCATGGCTGCGCCACCCTTCAAACCGAAACGCATTACTGCTTCACCGCAGAAATAGGCAGGGTGGTGGTACCTACCCGCGCGAACTCACTAGAGTGTCCTACCACCAGGAATATTTTGTGTTTTGGCTAACGTCGTCGTGTTAACGAGGTCAGTAAATTTTTGAAAGAGCTGTACAAATGACTTGTAGGATTTGGACAATGTGCCTGATAAGATTTTACTTATGTCTTACAGCGGAACTGTGATGTCGTTTTGTTTAGAACAGCGATGTGTGTAAGAGAAAGTAATATCTGAAAAGAAAACGGTTTGGCGTATGAATATGCTTCGTTTGCGATCACGCGCTCGTGCCCTTATCAGCATCTCCGCGAGCTTTGTGGCGGGCGCCGCTATCAGATCGGCGAACTCCACGGCCCTCTCACCCCACTGTGCGACTCCCTTATTTGCTCGGCGGCGCCTTTGACTAGGCAGGGCAAATATTTGGAAACTGGTTAACTAGCGCCGATGAACGATCGCACCACCATTGTCTGTCTGTACTTACCGACTCGCAAGTGATAATATTTAATTAGCGGCTTCGCTGTCGCGCCTACGCACTTTACGATCTACAGAGGCTCTGTAATATAATGTCTGAAGAACCGGCCGCGCAGACCGCGACAAACGCTGTTTGTTTTACAATTCAAGAAAGGCCGCTTGTTGATTAGCCCAGTAATGAGCGCCTCATGATCATAATATTTAAATAGTTTCCCAACAAACGCGGCTCGGTAATTGNATTTAATTAGCGGCTTCGCTGTCGCGCCTACGCACTTTACGATCTACAGAGGCTCTGTAATATAATGTCTGAAGAACCGGCCGCGCAGACCGCGACAAACGCTGTTTGTTTTACAATTCAAGAAAGGCCGCTTGTTGATTAGCCCAGTAATGAGCGCCTCATGATCATAATATTTAAATAGTTTCCCAACAAACGCGGCGCGGTAATTGAAAACATACGCGCTATGTTTCCGACGATTTCTAACAATACGATCACGTCATTTTCAAATGGTATATCTGTAATTGGAGAGGTACTGACGTTAATAAACATTTTCCGCAAAGTAATCTGACATGTGGCCTCAAGACAAAATATACAGTACGTAGAACATCTGACTGAGTCCGATGTCCTATTAAGAACCGATGTTCGTGATCTCACGGTAAACTGTGTTCGACATTTGATCTCGCCTGACATGGCCACGTTTCACTCACGGACCGTTTAGGGTCGTTTCGCGTGCCGTTGTCCGTCAATTCACGTTTTGATACAGTTACGCTCCGATGAAACATGCCGTTAGGAATGTATGATTACGTTGCAACTCTTAAAGTATATTTTTAATGCAAAAATTCGTTTTTTTTTTTGTTGCAGTTACCTTACACTTTAAGCGCTGAAGTCAAATCGAATTCGGAGGCGATGCACCCACCGACCTTTAACATTTCGAACGAGGGCTACGTGCCGACTGAACCGCAGACGTGGCGAGTGGACTTGCCATGTATGCGGACGATCGCCGCTGAAGTTGATCTCACTATATCACTCAATGTTTCGACCGGCTCGTCATCTACGACTTTGCATTTTCGACGCAAGAAGATATGTTTGAAAGAGGCCATCCGACCTGCCGTTAGAGTAGACAGCGTGCCGCACGCGCCTACTTCAGCGGATATTTTCTACGCTGGATCAGGATGCGCTGGAGGCATTATACTAATAGCTGCAGTCGCCGCGGCGGCTTGTAGAGCACGAGCCAGAAAACTGAGACGGGCTCGCAGCGATGAACAGGACGCTCACGCGTTCTTACCAGACTCGTCGTGCAAGTCGGCCGCCAGCTATACCAGCTACAGGAGACCCACCTCGCTTCCAGCCGTAGCCGCAGAAGAACGAGCCAGAGATCTACAGCAGAGGATAGCTGAGTTAACAATTCAACGGTGTCGAGTGAGGTTGCGATCCGTAGCGATGGAGGGGACGTTCGGCCGAGTCTACCGCGGGACTTATGCTGATGAGGAAGCACGAGAGCAAGAAGTTCTCGTAAAGACCGTCGCTGAACATGCCTCTCAAGTACAGGTACGTATTCCCAACAACCGATACACACACCGATACACCGAAAATGTATTAACTATAATTCCCATCATCTCAGGTATCGCTGCTTCTTCAAGAAGGCTGCATGTTGTACGGACTCCATCACGACCGTGTGCTGTCCGTTCTCGGAGTTAGCATTGAGGACCAAACGGCTCCGTTCTTGTTGTATCCTTGGGATGCCGGATGGAGAAACATGAAGCTATTCTTGCTGGCGTGCAGAGGAGTGACCATTGGAGGGGCACCCGGGGGAGCACCTCCACCGCCACTAACGACTCAGCACGTCGTCAGGATGGCGCTACATGCCCTCGATGGCTTGCTCTATCTTCACTCTCAACACGTGTTACATAAAGACATCGCCGCTAGGAACTGTATGTAAGTTGCATTTTCTTATTTAAGCCCAGTCTCATACATCAGGTGTCCTGTTTAGATTTCAGCCTATAGAGAGTGTGAGAGAGAGAGAGAGAGAGTATTCTTTATTGTACACCAAAAAACAAATAAATAGTGCGATACATTAAATACAAAAAAGTACAATTGGCGGTGAACAAGAATCATTTGGAAACGAACTACGCGCGGTGTACCAATCCAGTGAAATACATATACATATAACTAGTCAGGTCATAAGTATTGTCATACAGTAAAAACTTTTCTTTTAGAATGCTGGCCACAAAAAAGTTTATTGAATTCGAATTTCGAATTTTTCATGAAAATAAAATTGTATACTGTTAGAATTTTACTCATTTTTAAATATGGAGTGGACGCTTAAAGAAGACCGTGTTGCAGTTATTGCGCTGCATCGTTGCGTTTACGCGCCAATTCAAATTTTTAACAGACTGAAAAATTTGAATATAACCAAAAGATTCGTTTATCGTACCATCAAACGATACAATGAAGACTTTAGTGTAGATGACAGGTCAAGAAGTGGTCGCCCTCGGTCTGTTAGGACTGCAGCAGTGATAAAAGGTGTGAAGGCGCGAATTCAAAGAAATCCCAAACGTAAGCAGAAACTGTTGGCCCTTCAGATGGGGTTAAGCAGAACCACGGTGAAAAGGGTGTTAAATGAAGACTTAGGGTTTCGGGCATATCGAAGAAAAACAGGACATCGTTTGAATGCTCGTCTAATGGACCTGAGACTGAAGAGATGCCGCGCTTTGTTGAAGCGGTACGCGGGANAATATAATCGTCTCCTTCAAAGAATACGGTTCAAAACCTGCATTAAATAAAGGTTAATAGTTAACCTGTTATTTATCTAAGATGTCGTTCCGAAGAGTTTTGTGACTGCCGATGGAATACAAAGTCAATAATTCGTTTTTCTGATTTACCAATCATTGTCCAAAAGTCAGATTGCCGCCTTTGATAATAGTCGACTCACATATACATACGAATATATAAACCCGAACGAAATCAATGCGTGCAATCGGTAAAGGCACTTGTGCTTCCTTCGCAATTAACAGCGAACCATTCTCTTTGTTACACAGAGTGGATGAAAATCTGCGAGTGATGATAGCCGACAACGCGTTATCGAGGGATCTCTTCCCGGCAGACTACCATTGCTTAGGGGATAACGAGAACCGGCCTATCAAATGGCTGGCGTTAGAAGCTTTGACGAAAAGACAGTTCAGCCCGGCGGCGGACGTCTGGGCTTTAGGGGTGTTACTGTGGGAGTTGACAACGTTGGCTCACCAACCTTACGCGGAGGTCGATCCGTTTGAGGTGGCTGCGTATTTAAGAGACGGATACCGGTTGCAACAGCCGGCGAACTGTCCTGATGAATTGTAAGTAGATATATACATATATAGACTTAGAGTACGGTAATCTGCTTGAAAATAATTTGCGTACACTGTTTTGCTACCAGTACTTTGGAAGCGCATTTCTCACTAACCATGCACCTAAAGAGATAAAAGTTATTAGCTGTATCCACGAGTTTTTATTTATTTTAACTACAAATCTGTCGTTTTGGTTACGTTTCTGGAGTGATTTTTATCTTGAGCTTTAGCTTGAGGTCATTTTATGGAAGAAGTGTATCTTCTATCTAAAATTTGTTAAAAATACTAATAATATTCGAATTTCTGTGAGATACGGACATAAAGATGAGCAAAACGATTAAGGTTTCAGTTTTTTGTCGTTTTATTAGAAAACTTTGAAACACACAACAGACATAATAACCGTTGTGCAAAAAATCGAAACATGAACTTCAAATCTGTCTGAAACGGCTATGAATACTGGTAACTGGTAACCGGAATAGCGGTAGGCAGCGGCTTGGAGCGGTAGGCAGCGGCTTTTAGCGGTAGGCAGCGGCTTGGCTCTGCCCCTGGCATTGCTGATGTCCATTTTTATTTTTTTATTGCTTAGATGGGTGGACGAGCTCACAGCCCACCTGGTTTTAAGTGGTTACTGGAGCCCATAGACAATCTACAACGTAAATATGCGCCACCCACCTTGAGATATAAGTTCTAAGTTCTAAGATTTCAGTATAGTCCATGTCCGCCGCACGCTTGCCAAGCAAGAGCAAATAAAAATCTGGACCATATACAAACAATTCTGATTCCTCCAGGTTTGCTGTGATGGCGTACTGCTGGGCCATGTCACCAGACGACCGGCCCACTCTCCCTCAGCTGCAGATCTTCCTTCGAGACTTCCACACGCAATTAACGAGATTCGTTTAGGCGTTGCAAAATCCAAAGACTTAAGTGAAGTGTAGTGTGTAGTTAAAGAGGCCTTAATATGACGAGTGTGGACGTTCAAGAGACTGAAATTATAAGTGAGTTTTTTTTTTGTTTTTTTATTTTTATTATTTAGGGAATCAATAATGAATCGTTATGTATTTGGATAGATATGGAAGTAATTTTGAGTTGTAATTCTTGATTGAAATCTTTATAATCAAAATTAGTATAAAATCTGTTTTTGAGGTTGTAGTTATGTTAAAGGTGTAAAACAATATTTCCGGCCTTTAGGATAAGATTATATATCCTTTAAATTTACAATTTGAACGATTCAAAATGCGAATTTCTTAAAAATAAATTTTCTTTAATTAATTTGTCTAAAAATTATATTTCTGGTGACAAGAATAAGCAAATAACCCACCTATAAATACGTATACGAAATATTTGTTCTAACAGTAGACCCAACTTTAAATTTTTGATATCGAGAATTCATTAAGTACCGCGTTATTCTGAAATATCAATATTAGAAAAATCATAATATTGTAATTAGTGTAATATAAACAAAAAAATAATATTGTAATATAAACAAAAAAATTATGTTTATTGATCGAACTATGCTATGGAAGCAACCTATGGTTGCAGCAATGGTTATCGCGAATCAAGTTAAATGAAGACATTTCAATTTCCATTGCAGTACATTGCGTGAGTTGAAACCATGATCAATGATTATTCCCTCACGACACGACTTTCTTTTCGGAATTCGCGCCCTGAAACAATTTTTTTATTGCTTTGATGGGTGGACGAGCTCACAGCCCACCTGGTGTTAAGTGGTTATTAGCGCCCATAGACATCTATAACGTAAATGTGCCACCCACCTTGAGATATAAGTTCTAAGGTATAGTTACAACGGCTGCCCCACCCTTCAAGCCGAAATGCATTACTGCTTCACGGCAGAAATAGGCAGGGCGCCTATTGCCTTAAATCCGGCAATAATGACACTAGAAGCGGCTTTTGGAGTAGGTACCATCTGGCCAACAAACAAACGGCGCGTTACCAACGATTTATAGCTTTTAAAATTGCTCAAACCTTTATCCGATTACGTTAATGCTTACTAGAACAATATTTATTTGCGTAATAAATTATATCGCTAAATACTTGCACAATGTTGTTTGATTCGATTTGTGCTGACCTGGTAGATGGACTATATGGTCTGGTGAGGTTATTCATACCTAATCTATACATATAAATAAAATTGGAGTGTCTGTTTGTAATATCGAAATAGCCTCTTTTTACTACATGCATATGAATATATATACGGTACATACACCAAAATAACATTTTTTACAATTTTTGTCTGTCTGTCTGTCTGTTTGTTCCGGCTAATCTCTGGAACGGCTGGTCCGATTTTGACGGGACTTTCACTGACAGATAGTTTATGATATAAGAAGTAACTTGGGCTACTTTTTTTGGACTAGCTTCGCCCTGCGGCGTCACCCGCGGTACGACAATAAATGCGGGTAACATCGCGGGACTCAACTATCAATAATAAAATTTAATGTTTCCAAAGCGAAGCGAGGGCGGGTCTCTAGTTGTACATAAATTATTTACAGTATTAACATTTTAAAGAGGTCAATTTTTTTGAGTTATTATTACATTCGCAAGTTTTAATAAGTACAGTTTTTAGTGATGGTTACTTTATATAGACGCGTCATTTGTGGAATCAAAATTTTTACATAGAAGAAATATGTTTCTTGATATCTAATACATATTATGTACATATTGTTTTTGTTATTGCTTAGATGTGTGGACGAGTTCATAGCCCACCTAGTGTTAAGTGGTTACTATAGCCCATAGACATCTACAATGTAAATGCGCTACCCACCTTGAGATATAAGTATATAAGTTCTAAGGTCTCAGTATAGTTACAACGGCTGCCCCACCCTTCAAACCGAGTGAAGTTTATGATTCTACGGTTCTATGAATTGAAGATTAGGACGAAGTTCCTGTTTAAATTAAAATTATAGCATTATTAGACAGGCCGTGAACTATCGCCCGTGCATGCAAAAAAGTGAAGCCGTTATAATAATATATCTATAGTAACCACATTAAAACGCTAATAGGATTGTTATCTCACCTTATTTTATAGAGATTAAATCGATTACCCGATTCAGGTAATATTTTTATATCAGAATCGAGAATCAATTTTTTTTTTGAGTATCTAAATAAACCTATTTATAAGCAGGTTTGATATTTTTGTTTGTTGATTTGAAACGCGAAACATAAATGTCATAGCTGCTATCTTTAAAAAGCAATTTTCTATGAAAACACATCCCTCAATCCGAAAGGCATGGCTTGCTTTGTGTTTGACACTGACAGAACGTACCGATGAACTCAACATTTATTAAATTATTCCATCATAAAATTGTCTTAAATTCGACAAAATCTTTATGGTACTTCATACCATCAGGCACAATTCGAACTACCAATATTTCCAGGGATTTGTGTTTATCGATCACTGTTATTGTACTAAGTAAGTAATAGTTTATATCTATCTTAAATATACGACGATTCATAATACAACATAACCTCAGTACTGCCATATTAGGGTTAAGTAAATTAATGTTTCTGTAAATAACGATTATAATAATTGAAACTACGAAATACGTATGTCAACGTGCCTCTGACTTTATTGCGTCAGACGTTTGTAAATTTATAACAAAATAAAGATGTTAGATTCAGAACGAAAAGCATAAGCGGTGTTTCCCGAGCCCTATGACATGTCCTTCTTCAAACGAGGCTTGTGGAGAGTATTAAACGGTAGGCAGCGGCTTGGCTCTGCCTTGGCCTGGCATTGCTGAAGTCCATGGGCGATGGTAACCACTCACCATCAGGTGGGCCTTATGCTCGTCCGCCTACAAGGGCAATAAAAAAAATAATTAATAAATCATATAATTTGTAGTTTCTTATTGAATTATGTCCACGATGTGATGTCTTTTTGTGGCAACATCTCCGACACCGAGATTAATTTAATCCAGTACACCTAAGCCGGGTTTTTATAGTTGTAACATTTTATCTTTTCTGATAAAAACGTGCATCGGCGCGTGAGTAACTCGAAGCCTAAAGAACTTCGTTTAAAAAATAAAACGATATATTATTATACTATTTGCACATACGGTACTATAAAGTCACGCAATTTTTGTTAACACTAAATTGAGTATAGAAAATACATTTTTTAATAGTTATTAGTGAGACAAGAGAAATGTTTGCTTTTACTGATGAAGTTTAAAGTTGTAGTTTAAATATTATTTTATTTCTATAGTCTAGCAGAACTATAATATATAATAAGACTAGCTGACCCGGCAGACTTCGCAGTGCCCAATCGATAAACAAAAGACCTAAGTTTTTGTATAAAATAAACTAAATACAAACAAGAGGAATCCGTCCGACGGTGGACACATCAAAGGAAAAAGAAAATTGTTATTTTTATTTAATTCCGAGCATTTTCATATTTATCTACCTTTTAAACCTCTGGACTTCCACAAATAATTCAAGATCAAAATTAGCCAACTCGGTCCAGCCGTTCTCGAGGTTTAGCGAGACTAACGAACAGCAATTCATTTTTATAAATATATAGATGTTAAATTTTCCAACGTTTCTCATGAAAAATTACATAATTTGCATAAGTGACGTTATCGCACCGGTATGTGCGTATTATAAAAGAACTATTCAAGGTGTGTGTTCGTTTGTTTCTTATTGCTTAGACTAATGACTGAGCTCTCTTAGTAACAATTAAGCGGTAACAGGATACCCAAATGTACCGTGGTTGCCTCCGCTCACCTTGAGACATGATGTCCTATTCTCAGCTGGGATTAACCCGCTGTCCGATTGCTCTATCCGGAACGCGTGACCGCATACCGGAAGGACACAGCAAAAATAAAATCTATAATATAATCCTGAAACGAATTGCTCTCAATGTTCCGAAAACTGTAATTTTAAAACTTGGACTTGTTTAAAGTCGCCGGCCTTAATTTCATTGCTTAAAGCAGTGAAGAGCTTTTTCAAAGTGCACCAGATGCCTTCAGATGGTGGTCTTGAAACAGGTTCCTAGGCGGTTTACTGTTAGGACTGAAAAGATCTATTTAGTTTTGTGAATAATTGATGTTGTGTAGAAAGCTTAATATAAATATGTATTACGCATGGTTCATAGTCATAGTCGAACTTGCAATTATTGTATAATTGTGAAGTAATAATCGATTATCGATTGACATATTTTTGTCCATTTTGTTTGTTTCAATAATTAAAAGGAATACTTTTCGTTAATTTAAAAAAACGACCATTGTTGTTTATTATATTTTGTATCAAAGAAAAAACTCTACTATACATTAATTTAGTATACATACATTTTTGTAAGTGTGTATCAAGTTGAAAACATAGAAGAAAGTGCCAAAATGAAGACTAATGTCAATTAAAGAAATAATAAAGAATGACCGTTTTTCTGACAGTTTTTTATACATACTTGCATTTTACACGAGAACATAACATTTATACCAATTGTAACGTATTATATTTACATATAATATATATTACAGGATACCGAAATTAGATTATAGTTTGTTAAATGAAACTATAATGTATGAATCAAAAAAACAATCAAGAAACATTTAAATAATTCAACACTACGAAAAAAAAAAAACACTGTCGTAGCGTAATAAAAAAATATGTAGATTTTTCGTCAACATCTCAACAAAACTACATTAAAAATGTCAGTCACAAGTATGCATAAATTATTAATTGCCCTCGAGATCCTGGCTCTCATTAGAAAAAACCATCCCCAACTGTAATGACTTAATTCTAACCTTATCTATACATTGACTTTACGTTTTTAACACGATTTTTAAGTTTGTTCTGTATCACATATACCTTTATTAAACAGGTCATACACTCATGACATACAACTACACTCTCACACATACAATTCTCATACATAAAGGGATGTTTCAAACGTAATTTTGACCAGTTTCAAGTCGTCCGATTAATTTGAAAATTTGTACGCGGATCAAGGATAGATTATACAGCATAATAATTTTATTACTCCGTCTCAATTCTCCCCCAGGATTACCAGAAATCGATTTGTTGTCCAAGTGTGTTTTTGTAGTATTTATACTAATTT